ATTAGCATTCTTCACTGCCACAGTGTATAAATTTTGTAAAGAATCAAACCTGGAGGCATTTCATAGCATTTAAATGGTCTGCCTTTCTAAAAGGGTGACCGCTGACAGCCATCCATGCACCAGCTGACAGTAAAATTTGAGGTCAAACTACAATAGTACTGTGTCTGACTGTTTCCAGACCTCTGTTTTGGCCCCTATGCCCCAAGGAAGACAAACAACACAGTCTCACATTGCACAGTTAAGAGCACACTCAGCCCCAGAAAACACACTGCGGAAGTTATTACACAGTGCATATTTAAGTGCACCATGTACTTTCTTCCATAAGAAAAACCAAAATCATAAAATCACAGAATCATTAAAGTTGGAAAAGCCCAAGATCATCCAGTCCAACTGTTCACCTACCACCAATGCTGCCCACTAAACCATGCCTCTAAATACACCTCTACACATTTCTTGAACACCTCCAAGGACAGTGACTCCACCACATCCCTGCAGAGCTCATGGTCCAGATCCCGACCAATACAGTTTTGATAAGTGCTGATAGCAATATTACACCATTTTTTTCTCTAGCAAAAAAGTAATTAAAGAGCAAACAGAAGAGCCACTGTTCTAATTCCCTGAATCAGCCTGATTGCGTGCTCTATTGCTGCTGTTGCGCAGAGCAGAGTCTGATTTAAAAAAAGAACACAAAGAACTACTCAAATGTCAAAAGGAAAACACCTAATTGCATCAAAACATACATGCGTGTACCTTCTTAGCATTCATACACTTCTCATCAGAGGTCTCTGGTGAAATTCCAGGTCAAACTGAAGGGTTGGGTATACTGGACAGAAGGAAGCATGTTTACATAGTAGGTGAAGGGACTGAATCCAAGAAGAACAGAATATCCTTAAAAACCTTTGCAGATCTGGCCCACCCAGGGAGCAATTTCAATAGTGGAAACTGGATATTGCAGTAACATTTCCAGCAGTCAGCATCATTAGAAAATAATCAAAACATTTATGCTCTTGTATTTATAGCAGAAATGGTTTGGAGAGACCTTCAGATTTCAGAAGCCCATTAACCTTCTGCTACCGCAGGAATTGATTACTAAGTTACCCCTTCCATCTCCACTTTTCACAGCCACAGTTTCTGCACTGGAAGCCGCCATCTGCTTGCAGCTTTTATTTTACCTTCCCTGAAAGCTTCTGGCGTGGCATCACAAGCTGCTGGAGCCAACAGCAGGCACAGCATGCTGGGAAGGCACTGAGTGCCAAGAGCCCTGCAGGACACCTGGGTTGCATCTTCGCCGTTACTCTCCCTAACAGAGGTCTCACATGAAGACAGGCATGTGGTAGAGCTCTGGAATGCCCCACCTCAGGGACAAACTGTAATTCTGCTGGCCAGGAAGATGGGGTCATCATTTGGATGACAATTATTAGGCAAGGTGCCTCTACAAGCAAACTGCAAAGAAAACCTAAACATGACGCAAAAGGAAAAACTTTGGTATTTCACTATAAGTTGAAAAGGACTAAAAAGGAGCAGAAAATCTGATTTTCCTCCTAAAAAAATGAAGGGGCAGGTGAAGAGCAAGACAGGCTCATTCAGCATGCAGCGAAGGCAACCCAGAAGCAGATTAAGAAGAGTTTACTGCTAAGTCCCAGCCACCAGGAAGGGCTGTCCACACAATGGCACACTTTGTAGGGGAGAGGATCTTGAAAAGGGGAGAGACGGCATGGGCTGTCCATTAACCTCACACATCCTTGACTCGAGTTGTTCAATGAGCACAATGCGTCAGTGTGTTTGACTTTGCTACTTCATGAGGAGTGAAGAAGCAAAGAAAAAGAAATGAAATTAAGTCATATCTTTCCTTCCTGTGTGTGTGTGTTTTTCACTTTCTCTGTGCATTTTAGATCAAGGCGGTAACCTGCATTATACTTGTAAGCCAACTGCAGCTTTCTTGAAAGAGCAAAAAGCATTTGACTCCAAGGTTTTGCAATCAAAGGGTGAGCACCAACCACATCTCCAGAAATTATGCACAGCACACATAGCCCACACTCATAGAATTACAGAATCATTTCAGTTGGAAGGGACCTCTACAGGCCGTGTGGTCCAGCCCCCTGAAATGAACAGGGACACCTACAGCTCCATCAGGTGCTCACAGCCCCTCCAGTCTGACCTTGTCTGTCTCCAGGGATGGGGCATCCACTGCATCTCTGGGCAACCTGTGCCAGTGCCTCACCAGCCTTGTTGTAAAACTCCTTCTTATGCCCCCCTAGATCTCCTCTCTTTTAGTGTGAAACCATTTCTCCTTTCCTATCACAGCAGACTCTGCTAAAGAGTCTGTTCCCTTCTTTTTCATAGCTCCTCTTTAGATACTCATGCAGCTCTTCCCTCTTGCCAGTCTCTAATAGCTGCTCTTAGAAAATACCCAGCCCAACACTTCTGAACTCCTTTTTTGCTCAAAGTTGGGAGCAAATTCCTGAGTACCTCAGTCACTCAGTCACCAGTTCGATCCCCTGAAGTTCCCAGGGCAAGCCTATGAGGCACACGAAAGGTGTAGGTGAGCCTGCAGACAACTCTTTCTCTGAGGTTTCATTACTAGGAAACCTAACACTCCCTCACTGAAATTTTCATTTAAAGGAGATAACTGGAAGGAAAAAAAAAAAGAACAAAACAAAACAGACAATCAACGTTTTATGATTGGCTATAAATGAATAACATTTTAACAGATAATGTCCAATAGTCTGCAACAGCACCATAATCACCCACTAATGATGGGAGAACTCACTGTGAAAATTAGCGCACCTCAACTGGCGGGGTGTTCATTTAATTTTTGGTGCCAGGAAAGAAGAGGGCAGGCAGAGGAAGAAAGGGCACACTTAGCTCCAGCTCGTGGAGCAGTAAAATCCCCGTCCCCCCCATGCCTGGCCGAGCACAAACAATGCACACCAGCCCAACCCCACCAAAACCACTGAATTGTAACTCGTGCTAGTTAGTTTAATTATTGCCCATACATTTCTTGAAAATGCCATTTGAAGCATCAGCTTCTAATTGGAGAAATGGCTCTGAGCGTGACCGTGGGGCTGTTACAAAGTCTGGTCACTTTCGTAGAAGGGCATGGCCCTTCCACAAAGCGGGTGGAAACCTCTCAAAGACACCCATTGTCCAAGAGGCAAAAATGGAGTGCAAGGAACACAGAAGGAAGTCTCATCCATGAACACAAATGGAGACTGGAAACTGAGGTGGAGCACCAGCAAGCCTTGCTTGGGAGGCACCAAAAAGCTGAAAATGGGAAAAAAAATCCGGCTTCCAGGATGACAAACACAACTGGGAGCAAATGGAAGGCGTGTCAAAGAAATGCTATTAAAATAATAACACTCATTAAAGACTTAAGTTACAAAAGCCTTGCAAAGTTACAAGAAAGCGGCAAGTCATTCTTACCCAAGACAGTGAATTTCATTCCAAGACCTATAGGATTATGGATGGGTTTCCTGGGGCTCTGAATCAGCAAACATAGCATGAGCTGGCTTTGGGGCTTTGCTCTTTCAAAGCCTATGTGGGTTCCTCATCCAATCTGAAGCCAAGGTACACCCCCCAGTTTCCTAACAGGCTGATAACTCTGACACCAGCAAAAACAGACAGCAGGTAGGCTGCTCTCATGTAACCCTTGGATTACACTACCCCAGAGGTGAGCATTAAAGCCACGCACTGAGCACTTCACACCTTGTATCCTCAAACCCCAAGCTGAAGGAGCTAGCTAAAGCAGTCCTCTGATGTGCTCCATGTCCCAGCTCAACTCTTCAGCAGGGTCTATTGCTACTATTTGGATCTCTGGACATCAGACCCTCTCAAGAACTTGCTGGCCCAGATATACCTGCCACAAGCAACAGAGCACTCAGGAGGTGCCACCAGTAAGAACTATCAACAGTGCCTGTGGAGGACCAGAAGCCAGACCCAGCCTGGGCTCACGGAGCACTTCAACACACAGGGCAGCACGGGCCTGCCCAAGCCTCCACACGCACACACGTGAGGAGGAGGTGCTCCCCTCCAACAGCAGCGGGAGGCTTGGGAAGCACTCAGCAAGCACTGCCCCACTTTCTCATGTGACCCCGAGGGTCAGTTGGGTTCCAGTGGAAAGAAGGCAGTGGAAAACCATAGCTCAGTTGTTCCCATCTCCCTCAATGCAGCCAAGAACAAACACAACAGGCAGGGCTCTAGCTCTGCTTCCATAACTTTACTCAAACACCGAGAAGCATTTTCTGTTTTTAAAGTCAAACAAAAACACTTGGCTCAAGTTTTCTGTAAATCCACAGTGAAGGTAACCCCCAAGGAACAAGTATTACCCACGCACTAGGGAGTTTACTTATTAACACCAACTCCCAGCAGAAGTGCATTTCCGTATTTCAGAGTGGGCTCCAGAGGACTGTTTGCATTCCTCTCCCAGCAATGCCAAGGTCAAAGCACAGCACTCTGTGCCTGATGAATGCCACCAGCCAGCAGGGATGGGATGGGGCACCCCAAAACCAAACCCCGAGTGTTGTGGGCCACAGAGCCCTCTTACAAACAGTGATAAAGCACAGAAAAACCTTTCTATCAATAGGACAGGATCTACCTCCTGTTCTGCAATGATGTAAAATGAGGGGGCTGCTGGTCCTGAGCCTCCAAGCGTCCCCCTCTACGCAGGAGATACAGCAGTTAGAGGGAAAAAGTGACAGTGAAAGGACTGAGAGCTGCCCGGTAGCACGCCAGCATCCAGAAACAAGGCTCTGAGAAACACTGAGACCATTTGAGTTCTGCTCTCCACACGAGCTTTACCCGGTTAACTTTGCATCGGAGCATTTTTAATGCTCTGAAAATCCCACTGGGAAGAGAGCACCCTTATATTTGCGTCCCGCTCCAGCGGCCCAATGCACAGCGGGCAGGAGCTGTACGCGGGGACAGCGGCCGCAGCGGGTCGCTACGCGGGGGGGCCCCGTCCCGTCCCGTCCCGTCCCGTCCCGTCGCGCCGCGGCACGTACCCAGGCACTTGATGTGGAAGCCGCTGGGGGGTTTGAGGGAGCGGCGAGCCCAGCCCTGCCGCAGCACCTCCAGGTGCTCCTCCTTGCCCTGCACCAGTAGCACCTGCTCGTCGATCCAGCCCAGGAAGAAGGTCTCGGCCACCGCCGCCGTGGCCCGCTGGTCCCAGAAGTGCTGCATGTTCTCCCGCTTGAAGTCCGCGAAGATCTCGTAGCCGATGCGGTGCCGGCCCAGCTCCGCCGCTCCCCCCGGGCCCGCCGGCCGCCCCCCGGCCTCGGCGCCCAGGACGATGGCGAGAGAGTGCGGGGCGATCTGCAGGCACCGCTCGGCCCGGCGCGGCATGGCCGCCCGGCATGCCCCGCCGCCTCCCGCACCTCACCGCACTGCACCGCACTGCACCGCACCGCTCCGGGCTGCCCTAGCGCGGCACCGGCACGGCTCGGACGCTCCGCCCCCGTACACCTCCGGCCCGACCCCGCCCCGCCCCGCCCCGCCCTGCCACACGGCTTTTTCCCGCCTCCTCCGGGCCGGAAAGCCTTCCGCGTCCCTCGCGGGGTGCCGGCCTGCTGTGTGACTCCGCACAACCCGTCCGCAGGACAATAGACTCGGCTCGGCTGGAGGTTTCGGTACCTCTGGGTGATGCCTGGTGGTTTCTGGGCCATCCTCAACTCTGCTCTACTGTGTCCAAGCGCCCATCACCACCCGCGATCTTCCCTCACTGGCTTGTGCTGTTCTCCAGCATCCCGAGGAGTGTTACAAGGAGACAAGTGTAGGAGCCAAGCTGCCAGCTAAAATAACTGGTGTAGCTAAAATAACTGTGTAGAACCTATTGCCCAATCTGTTGCCACCACCTCCCTGCTGTGTGCGCCATGCCGGTGGCACTTTCTCTCCCATCACACCTCCATTCCAGTTCTCCTGGGCAAGGCTCACCCGCATGTGGTGCACATTTCACTGACACCCCACGGCTGAGCAGCCACCAGCTAGCTTCAGGCCTTGACTGGGCTTCCCTCTTCTTCCTATCTGCAAGAACTAAGGAGCCAAGTTACACCTTTGGACTTCTACAGTGTGCCAGGTGCATACAAGAGGGGGCCTTGCACTTGCACGGGCTTTCCATATCCTGTGGAGGAGCTGGGTGATGCTGGAACCTGAAGGTGAGTGCAGGGCTGTGACGGGCATGACAGGACTGTGTTTGGAACTAGTCCCAGCTCATAGGATGAGAAAAACGTGTAATAACGAGGTAGTAGAAGATGGTACACCGAACTATGTCCAAAATGTGCTGGATGGAGCACAGATCCAAATGGATCCCGTGCTTGGGGTGGGGTGTCCTTCCCATAACCACCCATGGGTGAATTGGCCTTCTAAGTGCCTCTCAAATGCTTGGAAATGCAGAAGTTTGCCTTGCTGGTGGGGCAAAACCCCTGGAGATCTCATCCTTGTGCTTCCACCCCAGCAAAGCACAGCCAGCATTGCCCTGGTGCACACCCAGTCGATGCAAACAGGTTTGGGCTTCTGGCTCTGCTGCAGGGGATGTGCAGGAAATAAAATGGCCAGGAGACCTGGGAAAACACAGCAGCACTGCCACGTGAATGCTTGAAAGCAGTGGAGATTGTGAACAGCAATGGCAGCTTCTAAGAAAGGCGAGATGGTGGACATGGCATCCTGATAGGTGTTTCTGAAAACTTTTCCCAAACTGTGGCAACCTTTGTTGGTGAAAAGAGTGCCGTGTTTTTTAGCATGTATTTCATTAAGCCACTGATGTGCAACCAAGGGTTCACAAGGCAGCACTTTGTTTAGCTTTACACTTTGGTTCTGGTAGCTTGTTTTTGTAACATGAGGGTGGTAATACTGCTCGCATTTGTTAAATGCCTAGAGACCTGCTCTTACAAATCCCTGCCAGGAAGTGTTCTTTGATGATCTCTGCCCTGGTAGGTGCCAGGAGTTTCTGTGCTGGGCCTTGCTCTGCCATCCTTCACCAACAGCCCTGCTCAGACGCCCTTGCTCAGGCAATGAAATCTCTGGGAGTCTCCCGCGTGAGGAGTGATGAGCCTCTTTCAGCTCAGACATTAAAACTACAGGCAGCACAGGAAGCAGCTGACTACTGAGCTTTAAGCTTCACAATTCTGCCTGACTCAGCCCTGCTGGCACTGGGAAGGATGTGGGGGAAATAGCATGTGGTGGGATACAAGGAGAGGGGAGTGGAGATTCTCAGCTGTGGCAGCAGTGCCACCTTCTTCCAGGATACTTTTGGCAACAGGATTGAGATTTGGCGAGGGGGTGAATACTGTTTGGGTATGTGAGCAGATAGGGTTCAATTACCTATTGTCTGCTTAACAATAGATCGTGTAGACTGGGGAAGTGAAATCACCTCCCAGCAGACAGGGAGAACAGGTCCTCACTGCTTCCAGGGTGAGAATAATCAAGGGCTGGGGCTGTCACCTCCAGCCCAGGTCAGGATAGGGCACTGAAACTCAGGGATTCAAAGGCCTTTTAATTTCATTTATTTGTGAAGTTGCAAAGAGGGAAATAAATTGTAGGCCAGTGACGGGGTTTTGTTTTGGACTGTGCAGCTCTGCAACCATACAGGATTCTGTATTTGCAGGTAATATGCCATTTTATTTATGAAAATGTCACACCTAAAATATCTGCCCGTTTTGGCATCTCCTTGTCCAAGCTACCACGTGGTGCAGCAGAGGTGCGGCCTGCACCCAGCAGCTCACACTTTGCCAAGTGTCTGGCTCCGAGGCAGCACGGGGGAGCTCAGAGGGTCTCTTCTCAGCCAGGCGTTTTAACCTGAGGTTGCTCTGCTTTTATTAGAGGCCTGAGGACACAGGAGCTCCATGGACACTTGGCATGCTCTTTTTTGCTTGGCAGCACTTCCAACTGGATTCAGCAGGACTGTGGAGAGGGAGCAGCACTAGTGGTGCTGGTTTTAGGTAAAAGTCCTTTGAGAATTTGCCTTGCCTTTAAGGCAGGCAGGCACTCATGCAAAGAAATATGTTAAATCAGGATACCTGTGCTGAGACATTCCTGATTTCCCTGCTGGCCCTCGGGATCTAGCTTTAACTGGCAGCTGGCACGTTCTACTTTCTGTGTGGTGATCGACTGACTATGACTCAGGTTAGAAAACATGAACCCTGCTCACAGCCTTCCTCTGGGCACCCCAAAACCAGAGCTGTCTTTTTCCATGTTCCTGAGCTTTGTAGGAGGAGGATTTCTGCACTTGAGCAAGGAAAAAATGCCTGTGGTAAAGAGAACCGACCACCCCCATCACATTTGCTCTTAGATGAAGGCTGCACATAGCAAAGGACATTGAACTCACAAAGTGGTAGCAGTAGTTCAAGGTCCATGTGAGTTGCTATCTCAGACCTCAGTTCACTATTCCCAGCCCAACTAGCGACACCCTACCAGCACATTTTTAACAAAAGTGCATCTTCTCTTGGTGAGATTACCAATATCTGGTGTTTCCTCACTTGCCCCGAGTGCCTCTGGGAATAACAACAAAGCTCTGAGAAAGAGAAAAGAATCCCTACGAGAATAATTCCTTTTTAAAGGAAAAAATGTCATTTCAGTACTCTTCTCTTTTCATTTGCCTTACCCTCACCCTCAGTGAACTAGCATGGTCAAGGCCATGCTTGGTTTACAAATGGGAAAATAATAGGTACCTTACAGCTGCAATAGACAATTATTTCTTTTAAAATAGGCTGTGGGCCTTGGAAATGGGTGATGGTTCCCCACGCAAGCCATCCTCTTTTGCTCTCATAGCTGGTGAGGGGCACCAGAGAGCCCAGCGAGCATCAGCCATGGGCCTTACAGCGCCGTGCTCTGTGAACAGCAGGATGTGCCCTGTGGGTCATGCCAAGACCTGCAGCACTCTGCCTGCACTGGGAATCGCTGCCTCTCATGGGTATTTGCTGCAGCCATCCTGCTGCTTTCCTGGCTCCTCCCTTTGCCTCAGCTTGTCAGTTTAAGACAGTTTAACCAATGACCCCAGTTGTCATCAATCTCAATATCAAGCGCAAGGTAATGCAGACAACTCTCTGCTCTGTGAAGACAGGCGATTATGAAGTATTTGTGAAACCATTTCAGCTAAAGAAGACGGACAGCTCTATTTTGTGCCTTGTATTGCCTGACAGGTGAGGGCACACCCTAGGATAACTCCTTGTCATCCCACTCGAAGGTCAAGAGCCTACATTTGACAGAGAAAAACGCCTTTGGCACTACAAGAGAAAAATGAACACATAGCAGCATTCAGGGTGAAAAAAATTAAAATCTTTGAAATCTTTGTACCAGGTGTGCCAGATTTCAAATTTCTTAGAGCTTAATGCCTTTTAAATTTTGTAGTTTCTCTTTGAAGATTATCCACAGACTCAGCAGCATGCTAAACCAGAAAGTTCAGCTTTTTTTCTTCCTTGAACAATAGCCATTAAGGGATTTTCTTTTAATGCATCTCAGGCACAGTGAGCAGCACCACAGCACGAGCAACATTCATAACAACATCTCTTCCCACTGCTTGGCTTGCTAACGGACATTCACCCCAATGCTTAGTTTCTTCTCAGTGCTCCTTTTTTCTGCTTCCCTCCCTGCCCAGCACCAGCCAGCAACCTCTCACCTTTCCCTCACACTTTTCTGTACTCCCTACCTATCCCTGTTAGGATGCAGAGTTAGTTTAAGTGGAAATTTTGCCAAGAGTTCATAGCTCTCCCCACTACATGCAGCACCAAGGAATTTCTGAACTCTCCTGGGTTAGTTTCTGAGTAAATTCTGACAGCTGCTTCACTAGCAAATGAGAAACCCAGGGAAAATATTTTTTTCCAGAGAGGGTGGCAAAGATGCAACCCTTGTACATCAGATTTCTCTTGGTTTTTACAGAAGTGAGATTGTCTATTTGATTATAAAAATGAAAGCATTGCTACTTCATCTTAGTGGGTGATAACAGCCAAGAAGCAGATAATTTCTTTCCAAGGAACAGACAAGAATGGGCAATTATTACCACGAGAGTATACATGGGAGGAGTTATGCCAGGGCACAGGGCAGAGTTAGAGTTTTCCTTCTTTTTACTGTAGGAAATCCTGCTAGTTACAGAACCTATGAGGTAGCTTTTGTACTTTTTTTCTTCCTGGAGCTGAAAGAACTCATTCAGAGATGCTGCAATTATTAATGATGTTAAAACCATGCTTGATGTAGCCATTCCTTTTTGAGACCATTCCACCATTACTTTCAAGAGATGCTACAGCTTCAGGTTGTTCATGTTGGCATGGACTGGAAGAAGGCATGAGTTCATTGAAATAGACAGGAAGGAAGAGACCTCCTCCCAGAATCATAGAATCACCAAGGTTGGAAAA